TTATTACTATTATTATTGTTTGTAGTGGCAATAGGTGGTGGAATATTAGGTGGTGGTACAGAAGTAGGTGTAGTAATATCAGGTACTAAATGATAAGCATCATCTGAATTCCAAGTTGTCAAATTCTGTTCTCTGTGATGATAATATTTTTTACCTTGGTCAGTTACGTATTCTTTCCAACCTGGTTTAATTTCTTTTCTCATTGGAGTTGAAGATAATGTTGATATTGATGGTGGTGGTTGTGCAATAATGGGTGGTGGTAAATTACCAGCAGATGAAATTAAAGGTGGAGGTAAATTACTAATAGATGGCATATTTGTAGGTGTTGGTTGTTGTTTGGGTATAAATAAATTTGGGGGTGGAACACCAATAGTTTTTGGTGGTGGAGTATTTAATATAGGTGGTGGTAAATTTCCAGCTGACGACATTAAAGGTGGAGGTAAATTTACATTGGATACTTGATTGATAATAGGTGGAGGTAAATTATTATTACCAATAATTGGTGGTGGTATTGACATACCAATTGGTTTTGGTAAGTTTCCTGCTGAAGTGTTGATAATTGGTTTTGGCAATTCAGTGTTATTGATGATAGGTGGTGGTAAATTAGTACTACCAATAATTGGTGGTGGTATACCCATACCAATAGGTTTTGGTAAATTACCACTGGAGGTATTGATAGGTTTAGGTATATTGTTTAGAAGTGGTGGTGGTATGTTACCTGCTGAATTATTGATAATTGGTTTTGGTAATTCAGTGTTATTGATGATTGGTGGTGGAATTGACATACCAATTGGTTTAGGTAATTCGCTATTGTTATTGATGATGGGGGGTGGTATAGACATACCAATAGGTTTAGGTAAATTACCACTGGAGGTATTGATAGGTTTAGGTATATTGTTTAGTAGTGGTGGTGGTATATTTCCAGCTGAATTATTAATTGGTTTTGGTAAATTTGGAAGTAGTGTTGAGGAGGTATTTAAAGGTTTTGGTATATCTGATAAAATAGGTGGTGGAATACCCATTGGTTTAGGTAGAGATGATGTAGAGTTATTTAATGGTTTTGGTAAATCACCTAATATAGGTGGTGGTAATATTGGTGGATTGGGATTTGTAAGATTTGAAATGGTAGGTATTATAGGAATTGGTGGTGGTAAATCTGGTATACTACTACTAATAGGAGGTGGAATATTCATTGGAGGTGGTAAATTATTTGGTTTAATAGAACTGAGTGTAGAAGGAGGTAATCCAATATTTAATGGTTTTGGTAAATTAGTTGGTGTTACTGTTCCTACTGTACCAATGATAGGTGGTGGTAGGATACTTGATGGTGGTGGAGGTAGATTTGATATATCTGTTGGATTTAATATTGGAGGAGGTGGAGGTAAATCTATAGGTTTAGAATTTAATATTGGCATTGGAGGTGGAGGTAGATCCACTGAAGTTGTTGTATTTGAAATTGGAGGTGGTAATTGAAATGTATCAACAATTGGTGGAATTGAGTTAATTTGGGGTTTTGCTAAAATTGGTGATGAATCTGCAGATGAAGGTAATGAATTGGTTGAATTATGTTTTTGTGAGAATAGCATTGGCGCTAGGATATTTGGTTTCTTTAATTCTGTAAAAGTTTTAACTTGATCACTGATTTCTAAAGGTGGAGGTATTTCTGAATTATTTTGAATAGCATCATTATTAAATGTTGGTGTTGATTGTGCTGATGTTGATGTAGTTGAAGAAGAAGTCGATGGAACCATAAATGAATTTGCTTTCTTTTTAAGTAATAGTGGTGATGGAAATGTTGGTGGTTTTGGTTGATCACTATCAATAGGGTCTAGATTAGTTGGTGTAGTTTTTGAAACTGATTTTCTCAATAACTGAGGTGAAAAGAATGGTTGTGGTTCAGGTTTAGTTGGTGGGTCAACATCTTGACTACGATTCAAAACAGTTTTTCTTAAATTATTTAATGGATTTGAATCTCCACCTCCACTTAGAGCCTGTAATTGTTCTGGTGATCCTATACTATGTCTATCTTCCTTTAATCTAGGTCTTGCTTTTAGTGTAATCTGTGATGGATCAAATTTTGGAATTGCTGGCATACCCATACCACCAATAAGTGATACCTTGGGTTGTTGTTGTGTAGTCTCTGTTGTACCATCCTCATTATTTTCACCACTATTACTATCTTCACCACTAAATGAATCTGTTGATACAATTTCTTTAGTTGGTGGTTTAAATCCTCTAGATGGCCTCTTTCTACCTGCTGCTCCAACTGTTTTTTTAATCTATAATTATTCATTTATAAATAATTTATTAATATTAATATTAATTTGATTTTCATTGAAAAAATATCTTGAAAAAAAAAAATAGTAATTCGTTGAAAATGTAAATATACATACAATTGTAAGAGGTGGTGCAGTTGAAGTTGGAGTTTCTTTTAGCCATCTACTATCAGCTAATAGTTTCTTGTATTGTTGTCTGGCTTTAAAACCTCTATACCATTTCTGAATCATAACAATGGAACGCATTGTCAATTTTTTAGTTTTTCTAGCTGTAAATCCTCTCCATATGGACTGAATCTTAATTGCTGCTCTATTTTTGTCTTTTGGTGGTTCATGTTGACTATCATCATTGGTGTTAACAATATCTACTACATTTTCATCTACTTCCATTGTTTAGTGCTCTCAAGATGGTACTTAAGACTAAACTAGATATATGTGTATATATAAAATAGATTTCACAATAGAGGTGTATAAATAAACAACAATAAACTTAACTATTGGTATTAAGTAGAAAGGTTTTTTGTTTTTAAAAAAAATAAAAAAAAGTGTGTTAGTAATCGAGATAAAATCGTTAATTAAAAAATCTCAATTAGAGTTTTATAATAATTAAAATGATTTTTTAATTTTGCAAAGATCTACATCAAAACAAGTGTTTTTACAAAACATGAACTGATAAACCAGATATTTTTTAATTTAAATCCGTTTATACATATTTCCAATTAATCTTAATACTTTTTTATTATTAAAAAATCAAAGGGTTATATGATTATACTTCTCCACCTTTTTTAATTTTTAAATGATATATACTATTTATTTGAATTTAAGCAAATAAATAAGAATCAATTAAAGTTTTATTACTAAGATAAAAAGTAGTGACAGTTGCAATGGCGATAGTACCAAAAGTAGTGACGGCACCTAAAGTTCTTCCAACACCTTTAAAGTCCTTTTTAATACCTTGATTGTGAGCAATTCTTGCAATGGTAAATACACCCATTAAAGATTTGAGGAATAGAGGTGAAACTTGGTTGAGTTCCATAATGGCACTTAATGTCAAAACCAATGGTACATATTCAAAAAAGTTACTGTGTGCACGAATAGAAGCATACATTTTTTCATATTTGTGAATATCAATACTACCAATACTATTATCTTTGGATTTAATTACAATATCTCTAATTAATGATTGTGAACCATCTCCCATTAAGCATTTGACTTTTAATCTTTCTTTAATGACATCAACTGATAAATATACATAGAATCCTGCTAATATAGATGCGTAGGTACCGGTTATCGGTAATAATGCTAAAACCATTCTTTTATAAAATAATTAATTAAAATTAAAAATTGATAATCAAAAATTAAAAAAAAAAACTAAAAACATAAAATATACTAAATCTATTCTAATTCGAAATCATTTTCTACTTTTAGAAACTAGTTGTTTCATTTCCCAAAAATCAAAATCCAAATTTATAAATAATTAAATTTATTATGTTTCAAAAATTTGTAAAAACCCTATTTTATTTTAAAGTTACCTTTAAAATCCACCTTTTTGAATAACTGAACATATATACCACAAAATTTTAAAATTTTCGTATTTTTACCATACCCTTCGAAATAAAATAGGTAGATTTGGAATCTCAGATAATCTTTGAATACCGAATAGATAGGGTGATGAAAGAGTTGTTGGTCATATGGATTCATAAACTTAGTTATAAAATCATCAACAGGTGAATCATCAGTGATGGAGATATATTCATTACTGGTAACATGATTGGCATGAATGGAACTAAGAGCAGACAATTTAATTGTTTGACTGGTTATATCCTTGGTTTTTTTTTGTTCTTCTTTTCTTTTGTTCAAGTTATATTTATTGGTGCAAGAGTCTTTAAGAACACTATTCTCTTTATGTTTTCCCTCATTGAAAGTAATTTAGTCAGGGAGCTATAATGCTCAAGATAGGTAGAAACCTTTTGACCTTTGGGTAAAGTGTCATCATTAACATCATAATTTGGTACTGGAATAGATTTACTAGTAGTAGTAGTAGTAGTGGTAGAATTTAGCAGAAGTGTTGTTGTTATTATTACTTGTGTTATTTGGTCCGATGGTGGGTGATCATGATGATGATACACTGTACTATCAACACTACCAGAAATACTATTTACATTACTGTTTCCTGCTGTGGTTGTTGGTGTAGTAGCTCATCCTGATGAAACTGTGGTTGTTTGTGGTCCAGGTGTCATAATCTAATATTAGTTATATAATAACCCAAGGATGGTAACAGAGATATACATCATCGTAATGATTACAAAACACCTTCAAGAGATACCAATAGACTAAAATAGAGACAGAGATAGATAGATAGATATAATGATAGAGATAGGGATTATAAAAGAATCAATGATAGCTCTCAAAGAGTGGTTATCATAGTAATAGAACACCTTCAAGAGATTCAAATAGAGATTATAATAGAGATGATTATAAGACTCCATCTAGAGACTATAATTTTGATCAAAGATTCACAAGAAATATATGTTAGTCTCTTCTCCTAGAGTCTCTAATATCTGCTATTCGTGAGAGACAAAAGATTTTTTGGATATTTTTGATTTTTACGACAGAATAAACCAAATTTTTGTATTTCGTATTTTTACCATAAATACATAACTGGGCATTCCAGGAGAGGAGAAAAACACAAAAAATTCAGAGGGTATGACGAAATAAAAAAAATGCCTCTTCCTGGAATTGAACCAGGGTCTAAGCTTTACAAGAGCCTTGTACTGCCACTATACTAAAGAGGATATCTTTTTAACTTCAAAAAAAAACTTTGAAAGTCATTCTGAAAAAGCTATCTAAAATGTAAGAATGCTCCTTACCAAGTTACAAGAGTACAATATAGATTAGTATAAAGTATACATAAAAGGTAGTCAGGAATGGATGACTATCATCTTAAGACCTTTTAGCGTAACTGTTAATACTTAGTACTTTACAAATACAAATTCTAATACCAGACCATTTTATGGCCCTTTTCAATGTACATAAATAAACTTTAGATCCAACTCCTACATGTTAGGGGTTTGGGCATAAGGGTATCAATTGGTACGCCTTTAACAAAAAAAAATTCTGAAAAAGCTATGATTTAAATGTAAGAATGCTCCTTACCAAGTTACACAAGAGTACAGTATAGATTAGTATAAAGTATACATAAAAGGTAGTCAGGAAAGACCCTAATAGTTTCTACTTCATATGGTACTCTAGAAATAAGAAAAACCATGATAAAATGGATAGCTAGGAAGACAAAAATTAAATTTTTACAAGAATATATCCAAAAATAATATATCTGAAGATTAAATCTCCCAAAGAGGTCTATTTAATACACCGTCTATATTATTAATTTAGATTAATCTGTGATTTTTTTAAATGGGAGTAAGTCTTAATTAATTATAGTGGTATAAGATTTTTTTAAATTAATAATATAATTCCATAGCTTGATGTGTTGTTTCTTTTAGTTTTATAATAGGTCTTTAAAATTAACCTAAAAGTCTTAAAAACTTATAATAAAGAAACTCAAATACTGCTAATTAGATAAGAAATTTTTAGTCATTTCTCCTTCTAAATTTAAAATCTATGTTTGTTGTTTAAGAATATATTTATTTCATTTCTATATACATATATAAAAATAACCTTTTTTTTTAAAATCTCTTGAGATGCAGAAAGTCAAATGTTATATTTCAAGAGTACAAATATATAAGATTTGATATATTAAAAAGAAAAATATAACACTCTTAAGGAAATGAGACAATAGTAATGAAGACACATTTTTTGATATAAAATAAATCTGAGTTTATTTGGTTGTTATTTTCATAAAACAAACAAACACTATTTTAAATCTGAATAATTTTAAACAACTCTGATAAAAACATTATTCTATTTTTTATAATACATCACTATAATGAAAAACAATATTATAACTTTGGTATTTGTTACCATTGCTGCAGTGTTAATTGGTTCTATTAATACAGAGACTGTAAAAGATTACCAAGGTGCCAACATTGTAATTCAATGGAATAATGCTCTGTTAACAGGTATTGTTGAGACTAGTCCACCTCCAACTGTAGGTTCGAGATCAATTGCATTGGTACACACTGCAATGTACGATGCTTGGGCATTCTATAACTCACCAGCTAGAGGTGTATACATGTTGAGAAATCTCACCAATGGTTATCCACCAACTGATGTTAAATCTGATGACATGAACAAAGCAATATCCTATGCTGCTTATAGAATGGTCTCACAGTTTTATTCAAAATCAATGTATGTATCCTAATATTACTATAAATAGTTAGAAATTAATATAAATATTAATTTTATATGAATTTGATAATTCATTGAAACTTGCTTATAGGAATTATTATAATAATCTAATGGGTCAATATGGTTATGATATCAATGATAACTCTACCCAAACAAGTTCTGGTCCAAGTGGTGTTGGTAATTTAGCTGCAAAATATACAATGGAAAATAGAGTTAATGATGGATCTAATCAATTGGGTAATATAAATGAAGGTAAACCATATAGTGATTATACCAATTACTCCCCAGCTAACGATGTTGAACCAGCTCCATTAAGATCTCCAGATAATTGGAAACCATTATTAGTACCACAGAAAGATGGTAACTTAAATAAACAATCATTTACAACTCCACATTGGACAATGGTAAGACCATTCTCCATGAAATCCGGTGCCTTTTTCAGACCCAAAAACCCACCACCTTACGCCAAATTTAATAGTACCAGAGATGATTTAATTAAATCTGCTCAGGAATTGATTGGATTCACATCAAATATAACTGATTTTATTAAATCAGTTGCAGAGTATTGGGCTAAAGGTCCAAACACTGTATTAACTCCAGGTCATTGGTGTCAAATTGCTCAATATGTTTCAGAGAGAGATAAACACTCTGTAGATAAGGATATTAAGTTGTTCTTTATGCTTGGTAATGCTGTTATGGATGCTGGTATTGCATGTTGGGATACCAAGAGATTCTTTGATAATGCTCGTCCAGTAACTATGATTCCATATCTCTTTAAAGGAACTATGGTCAATGGATGGCATGGACCTTGTCAAAACCATGTAGACTATGATTTAGCTGATTGGATTCCATATCAAGACAAATATTTTGTAACACCATCTTTCCCTGATTTCACTAGTGGTCACAGTACATTTAGTGCCTCTGCTGCTAAAGTTCTTCAAATGTTCACTGGAAGCGATGCATTTGGTGACTCTGTAACTATCAAGAAGGGTTCTTCTCAAATTGAAGCAACATGTTCAGATCCAGTGCCTGCTGAAGATATTGTATTGAAATGGGATACCTTTTCAGCAGCCTCCGAACAAGCAGGTCTATCTAGACGTTATGGAGGTATCCATTATGATTTCTCAGATTATACTGGTAGAGATATGGGTACTAGAGTTGGTGAACAAGTTGTAAAGCGTTCTCGTTTATTATTCAAGGGTGTTGATCCTGATACTAGAACTGTAGTTGATGGTGGTGATCATGATGATACTCCAAATTCTTCTTCTAAATTAGTTTCCTCAGTTCTTTTATTATCATTGTTACAATTTATTTATTATTTATTCTAAAATATTAGCATTATTATAATAAAATTGACAAAATCCTCCCTCACTTGTGTGTTCATTAAAAAAGAAAAAGTTTAATCATTTTTTATTTTTTTTAGTAATCAATTATCTAATTCATAGAAATTAAAATAAGGGTTATTGAATACATAATTGGGTAGTATGTATTTTAAAAATGTTTTGGTATCTTGTGAAGTAAATATATCCATATCACCATTAATCAACTTAGTTGTATTTGATATAAATTCATCAAATAGTGGGTATTCTTCATTAGGGTAGATATCATAATCAATTTCAAACTGTTCATTACCAAAAAAAATGAAACCACCTTCACTATAATATCCATCAGAATGACCACCTTCAATACACCAGAATAAATCAAATGAAAATGGAATGATTTTACCTTGAATACTTAATAATGTACCTGATAACGACATTGATTCTTTTAATCCCATACCAGAATCCATACCACCATAGAAATCACGTCTGTTAATTTTATAATTACTAAATATTACAGAATCCAATAATCCAATTAAATGAATATTATCAATATCTTTATAATATCTAATTCTATCTAGACATGGTATCTCTATAATATCAATGATTCTTTTTATCAACTTTTCAATTTTATCTGCTCTTTTAATTGAAAGTAAATTAAAATTAAAATATTTAAGAATAATATTTTCTTTAATATATCTTTCTTTAAATAGAGTTGACCACTTATTAGGATATGAATTTCTATTTTTAATAATATTACCTTCATTTTTCTTATTATTCTTAATATTATTACTATTATCTATTGTATTATTTTCTAAATTTTCAATACATTGAACACTATTATAAAACTCTAAATATTTCCATCTTTCAAAGCAAATTTCTTTCCAGATTGCTTCTTTATAATTTAAATTATGAGTCCATTGTTTACATACTAAAAATAATCTATTAAATTCATTATCCTTTGATAAATATTTAATGATATTTGAGAATATTGTTATATTTCCTGTGATATTAGGATTATTATTGCAAGTTGTTCTATTATTAGTAGAGGTAGGTATATCATTGGTAGTGGTGATATTATTTTCTCCGCCACGAGGGTAAAACTGATAGTATTGATTATTATATGCATATGTAGGGATGATATAACTAATGAGTTGTTCAATATCTGTAATGGAGAATATTGGAGTATTTCCATTGATTAATTTAGTTATTTGATTCATAAATTGGTAATAAGCTGAGTATTGGCTAGAATCATATTCACCATTATGACATTCCAGTTGTGGAACAACATGGTAATATTTACCAAATTGAATATGAGCATATGGATCTCTAGAAAATGCATCACTCCTATCACCCTCTATTGCGTGTAACAGTCTAAATGAGAATTCTACAATATCACCATTTAAATTCATTATAGAACCTCTACAGAGCATATAGTCTATCTGCTCCATTCCATGATCAATATCATGAAAGTAATTATCTCTTTGTGATACTAGATCACTGTATATTACAGAATCTAATATGGGAATGATTTTGGTATTTTCAATATTAGTGTAGATTGATTTGTTCAATGATGGTACACTTGAAATTGATTTTACTTTCCTCATTATATATCGTTTATCCTCTTGTTTACGGTAGCGTTTAAGATGAAGTTTAAAATACTTTCTAGTGATATTCTCTTTAATATATCTCTCTTTAAATATCTCCTGCCATGATTTTGGTAAACTATTTCTATTTCTAATGAGATATTGAACTGGTGGTTTATTACTTGCTCTATATTGATTGCTTTCGTATGTTATAGTTGGTTTACCGAACTGAACTTCATCATATACATATTTTGGTGTTGGTTCTCCTTTTGATCCATCATAAAATATTTTAAATTTCGATTTTGATTCGGGTATTGTAAAATACTTTGATGTTGGTGAGAATAAATTTGTATAGCTATTTAATTCACACCATCTTGTTACTGATAGTTCTCTCCATAATCTATTGTTACTGTTAATAAACTTATCATACCAATCTTTACAAACTAAATAAAATCTATTAAAATTATTTTCAAAACATAGATATTTAAAAATATTTATATAAATATCATTTTCTGTGAATATCTAATAAATTATATTAGTCATTTAAATATATCTTTAACTTAATTCATTAATCGCAACTCA